CATTTATATGGTTTCTCTCCTGTGTGGATCCTTTTATGGGAAGTAAGGTGAGTGCTCTGACTAAAAGCCTTTCCACAATCCGTGCATTTATATGGTTTCTCCCCTGTGTGGATCCTCTGATGGCAAATAAGGGCACTACTGTGACTAAAAGTCTTTCCACACTCCGTACATTTACATGGCTTCTCTCCTGTGTGGATCATTTCATGGGATTTAAGATTACTCCTTTTGTTGAAGCCCTTTCCACACTCTGTGCATTTATATGGTGCGTCACCTGTGTGAATTAACTTATGTCTTACAAGGGATGCAACTTTATGGAATCCTCTTCTACAGTCTATGCATCTATATGGTTTTTCCTTCTGGTTCCTTTCCTGAGCAGTAAAAATCTTCCTTTCACAGAAGCTTATTCCATTCTCTGTGCCTTTCTCTGGATTCTCCCCGATGGGAAGACTTTTATGCGATGTTAGAGACCCATTTTTCAGAGAAAATGGAAAAGTCCAACAGTAATTTTTTCCATTGTCTTTGCATTTATAATCTTGTCCTTTGGATGTGGATGGATGATGTTCATTGACCTCTAATGTGTCTTTGGATAGTTTTACACCTTTCCAAATATATTTTTTTTCTATTTTTTCCAGTTGCCGAAGAAAATTGGGCACGTGAGCCTCAATGGAAGATGAGCTTTCCTTATTCCAATTATTTGAGGGGTTTCTCTCCTGCCTTTGGAATTCCGTTTGAATTGCAGGTTTCTCCATTACGTCTGCACGTCTGAACTCTTGGAATGATTCCCTTGATTCCTTATGGTCCTGCTCATTATCACCTTCAAGGGAAAGAGAAATAAATACAGCAAGGTTAAAGAAAAGAATAAATCATTGAGAAATCATTGTTTTTGCTTCTGAAACTTTTAAAATTCTAATATTGCATGTTTGATTGCTTACAATGGTATAAATGATAATTCCCACATTAATGAAGCATAAAAAAATTAAGAATAGCAAACATTCTTTTTGTTTATAATAGTCCATACATATTCAAATCTCAAGAAGAGTCAGCTCTGAGTTAAAGAAAAATCAGAGGAAGCATCCAAAGATGTATTAGGAGAAAATCCAACATTTATTGCCAACTCCACAGAAACCTGTGAGAACTAAATCCCCTTTGAAACTCATCTTTTTCTTCTCAAAATATGTTCCATTTGCATTTTGTTTTTTTCTTCTACCAAAATCGCAAAATTGAAGGGGGGGGGGGGGGGAGAAATCTAGTGTTCTTTATTAACCTTAAGTTGCATGTTTGACATGGAAAACTGGCACTATTTCATCTCTAATTCCAAGGCTCAGGATAGAAATCAAACAGAAGTAGTTAACCCACATATCTGAACAGGGCGTCATAGCAACAGAACTTTGACTTATATACCACTTCACAGTGCTTTACAGCCCTCTCTAAGTTGTTTACAGAGTCGGCCTATTGCCCTCAACAATCTGGGTCCTCATTTACCAACCTCAGAAAGAGGGAAGGCTGAGTCAATCTTGAGCCGGTGAGACTTGAACTGCCAAAGTGTAGGTAACTGGCAGGCACCTGAAGTTGCCTGCAGTACTGCATTCTAACTACTGCGCCATCACGGCTTCACAGGATTGATATGGAATTATCTGGGCCAAAAAGGCTGAAACCTGTGATGGGGTTCAGCACTACATAAAGCCAAAAAATTACTTTGTCACTGACATGTTTAAATAGAAAATACATCAGATGTGAAATGGCACATGACGCATCTAAAGAGAACGCCACAGATTTATTTCCTTCTTAGGAGTAGGAGAACGGCGTATTTCTACCTGCTTCCTCTCCAGAAATAAAATTTATCTGAGATTTTTAAAATAAGAAACAGCCAGTGGTATCCAACTACAAAATATCTTCCTGAAGTCTCTGACTGGAGAATAGGAAAGACCCTTACCAAGAGAGGCCACGTTCCTGTAATTTTCCAGCATGACTTCCCAATGCAGAGCTTTCTGGTCAGGATCCAGCTGAGACCATTCCTCCTCAGAGAAATACACAGCCACATCCTCAAAGGAGACAAGGCCCTCCTGACAGGGAAAGAGAGCACACTGAAGGTCCAGGAGGAATTGTGAAAAACACTGGTTCTATTGTTTATAAATTCCCAAAGCAACTTTATGTAACTAAGGTAAATGGCTATGCTTGCTACGATTCCAAGGTTTACAGGCAGAAAACAGGCAGAACCAAAAGCCTTTAATTGAAGCAATAGATTTTTTAGCTTTTGCAAAACTGGACTGTTTGGCCTCCAAATTCAGGCATAAAACAAGCTATTAGAATTTATTTGGAAGCTAAAAGTGCCTTGATGAAAAAGCTTTTTAAAAAAATGGTAATTGCCAGTGTGAATACTTAGACAGTTTTCAGCATCCTTTCACAAATCTCAGAGTTACCAAAAAATGAGCATTCAGAAGGAATATTTGAAAAGTGAATAATTAGCATAAGTACAATTATAATAATAAAAATTGGAAACAATTAGCAGTTATTTAAAGTCATGTCCTTAAAAAAGATTTCCTAAAAAGAACCTGCTTCAACTTTGAACCTTCCTCAGGAACACAAAAATAAGCCAACCCAAACAAGAAGGAAAAATGGAAGGAGACTGTCTATATGACTTTCTGAAGGAAAGGGAGCATCCAAATATAATAAATTAATTTCCTCTTACTTGAATTGGAGTTTCAATCTTTGTTTCAGTTCCACCATCAGGAACGGTGAACTTCCTTCTATTCTTCCCTGTGTAGGAGACAGAATTTAAAATGCATAATTCATAATGTCGGAGGTGGTGTTCTATAGAAGAGAAGACATACAATAGATAAGACTGCTGAGATCTCTCTGCAGAATCGGAGAGCCTTGTATTACCTCTGGTTGTGTCTTGATTTGGATCATCCTGAGAGAACCTCCTGAAAAACATTTCCTGAGATGAACTTGATGGATGCCTCCTTCCCTCAGGATCTCTGATCTCCACCATGAAGGACTGGAAAAAGTAGGCAGGAAACAAGAAGAATGAATGGACAATACACATCAAGTTTCTTCTGTGAACACCGCTTTGAAGCTCCAGAATCCATCAACGATGAAAGTGGAAAAGAACGACTATCACAAATAACAAAACAATGTCTTGCAAGAATTATCAGAGTGTCTCCACATATAATGAATGCCAAAGAACTTAGTTTTAGACTATTATATTTAACCAGTCCTGAGCTCCCAAATGAAGGTCTCTCACCTGCAACTCAACCTGCTCCTTCCCCTCCTCTGCCTGGCTCAGGAGGAAGCCTTCCACCAGGGCCACCGCCTGGGAGCTGGTCTCTGCTCCACACTCCCACACCCAGCTCTCCATCTGCAGAGGCAGAAGTGCCAGGAACTGCTCCAAAACAACCAGGTCCAGCATCTGCACTTTTGTGTGCTTTTCTGGTCTCAACCATTGACTACAAAAGGAATGAAGTTGACTGCAAAGTCCTCGGGGACCTTCATTCTCCTTGTACTGGAAGCTCCTGAAGTTCCAGGGCTGAACTTCTAAAAGGGTGGATTTCTCCTCCAGGATCTTCTGCCCAGTTCTTGCCCAGATCTCCCCACAGCTCCCAAGCTGGACGCCAGAAGGGACTTTTGAAATTTCCTCACTTGCTAAAGATTGGCTTTTCATTTTTTTTTTCTGTCCCATAGTGGAACTCCAAATGGATCCAGGGAATCTTGTGGATTCCCAAACACCTTTCTATTCATAGTACCATTCCTGTAGCTGCAGGTCACTCACCTCTTTCAGCAGCTCTCTGTCCATTTTTTTGCCTCCAGCAGAGGGAGTTACAAATGGTTTCCAATTTCTGTATCTGAGATTAATTAGAAAGTGGTGGATTTAATCCCCAATTAAAACATATCATTCTAATGGAAAGGTAAGTTTTATTGAGCTCCATTACAGTGACATTGAGCACTTAACCCCTGTGCATGAATGTGTGTTTGGTAGAAACTTTAAGATTGGTCTCCATCATGGACTCAGAACACTGAATAAATGTTTGGATTTTGGATCATTTTCAGTTGCTTTTTTCTCAGAAAGCTAAACCTGCATTTACCTGCAAGGGGGTTACACAAACTTCAACAGGTGAACAAAACATAAAAGCTCACTTAAAAGAAAGAAATGCCCATAAGTGACCTGGTTTGGATGTTCCCTTTCTTCAGGGTTTCCTTGTTAAGAGTCAAATCACACAATTCCATACAGGCAGATTCCCAAAACATACCCCAAACACAAAGAGGCAAAGCAACTGTTCACATGAGACACGGGTTGGTGAGGTCCTGGTTCACTCACCCTCCTAAGAGAAATTGAACTGCTGAGGATCCAACCCTATTTTAGCGTCCTCCAGCACAGAAGGAGCAGGCGGGCACAATCTCCTGCAGTTCCTCCCTTGCAACCATGTTCTTCTTTCCTGCTCCAGATATGCCCTCCAAGCTCTCCCCATCTCCCACCTCGGAGCTTTCTCCAGGCTATGAGGGGATGAAGGATTCCCCCAGGACCCTTCCTCCTCTCTGGGGATTTGTTCCCGGAGCAACGCGCTCGCCCTGAGCACCGCTTCCCTCTGCCTGCCACTTGCGTGGAGAGGGGCAGCAGGGGAACATGGGATCCGGGCTCTCCCAACCCCAGGACTCC